AGCGGAGGGAGTTGGGCGCAGCTATGTATGTCGGCTGGGGATCGGCTGGCTTGCTTTTACTGGGAGGAGGAATACTTTGCTGGAACTGCCCGCCGAAGCAAGAACGCATCTACAACCCCAAGTTCTCCGCTGTGAGGTCCAATTCTGCTCCGAGAGAGTTTGTCTGAGATTCAGAACACATACGACCGGCCTTAAAATGCACACTCAAGTGACTGATTGATCTAATTCATCGCTGTATGTCAGCAATTCATCCGTAGAATTACTGGAGAGACCATTTTTAAAAATGTAATAGCAGAACATTTTCATTCTTCCTCTTCACAAAAACACAAAGAATTATGAATACATATCTTCTAAATAGAGATTGTAGAGTTAAAAAAACATCATGGGTTTGATTCTCTAGGGATGCTTGAACTGATGTATTCCTTCAGTGCAATGCAAATTGCTTTGTATAAAAGAGTCATGTATTTATTACAGCTTTTATGGTGGGATTCTAAATATTGATTGTGTATTTATTTTAAATTGTGTACAAAATTACCTTTTTATTATTTGTCATGTGTATTATGTATGTTTGTGCCATCAGCACAACAGGGCCATCAACAAAACAATAATAAAGTATCCCAAGTTCTGGTTTTCTAGTTAGTTTCCTTGGTTGTTAATTAGTTACCCACATCTGTTCTGCTTTTCCTTGTTGCACTCTTGTAGTATTTAAGCTCCTGTTCCTTGTCTGGCATTGGTTATGTTTGACCTTGCATTTAAGTGGTTGTGTTATATTTCCATTAATCTCCAGAGTTTCCTAGTGGATTTAAATATAAAACTGTAAGGTATAGCATATCAATCCAATATTATTTCAAATAAATAAATAAGACATGTGGTTTAAATGTTATGGCAAAAATCTGATCCCTAATAATCAAAACATCAGAATATTTCTCTCTTGGGTCAGTGCAACTATATAGAGCATTAGCCTCTTTAATATACATTCTCAATTCCAGTCCTCACGTACCACCGCTCTGCACATTTTGTATGTTCCTCTTATCACTTCAGACATCTGTTCTATACAACCGTAAGTGCCCTGAGAAGGATATTCCACCATGATTCCAGTTCAAAGTGAGCTTATATGTTCCATTCAAAGGGCATTAAAGTGTGTGAGATGTGAATTTAAAACCTATTTATTTACAGAGGTATATGTCACACTTCACACTTCTCTTGTAGGTTTCGTCTGTGTGTAAAGATGCTGCAGGCCGTGGCGTAGCACAAATCCGCGAATGAATGTTCCGAAGTGAAGTAAACATCGACGGATTTCACAATCTCAGGGAGTAGGGAGCAAAGAACACTGGGCATCATTCACTAAGCATGCATACTCACAAATGTGTGCTTGGAATGTGCGTACGAATGATTTTAGGAACAAATCACGATTCAGCAAAACATTCGTAATAAAATGTATTCTAAATTTTCGAAAATATAGGAACAACTGAAACCACAAATACACAAAAAGCACATCTGTATGGTCTTATAATCGTATTAAAGGATAAGTTCACTTTCAGAATAAAAAATGATCTAGCGAAACGGGTGGTCATTTTCTTAAAACAATACGAGTTTATATACTCTTTAACCACAAATGCTCGTCTTGCACCAGCCCGACCTCATGCATTACATTATCATGTTGGAAAGGTCACGCGTGACGTAGGCAGAAGTACTGACCCAGTGTTTACAAAGCGAGCATGCAAAGAAAGTCAAATGCCCATTACAAAAAAAGGTAAAACAGCGATGTCGGATGATTTTGAAGCTGGAGTAGAAAATGTGATGGAGTTTTTCTCCCTACCCTACCTTTTTGAACCGAAGTATACAGATGAAAAACTAACCGCGCATGACCTTTCCAACATGATTACGCAATGCATGAACAAGAGCTAGTGCAAGATAAGCATTTGTGCTTAAAAGCATAAAAATTTATATTTAAATTATTATTTTTTTTTTAGGAAATGACCGATCGTTTCGCTAGATAAGAACCATATTCCTCAGCTGGGATCGTGTAGAGCCCTTTGAAGCTGCATTGAAACTACAATTTGGACCTGTTGATACCCACTGAAGTCCACTATACTGAGAAAAATACTGGAATGTTTTCTTCAAAAACCTTAATTTCTTGCAAAATATGCAGAACAGCGTTACGCGAGGACTGGAATGTTAAGGTTCTTTGAAGGCACTTAAAAGAAGTCTTGCTCTGTAACATTATAACCCAAAATAAAGCCTAAACATTCTAAAAACTCGCTGCTATCTTGTCTATAAAACATCTTGAGCTCAAGATATTTCTACATTGAGCAATTTTTAAAAGTACTACATTTCTGCTACTGCATCTGGTAACATAAATCATATATGTACTTAATAATGTATATATATTTTTTTAGCATTTCACCTCTTTGAAATATTGATTTCATTTCGAATCTTGTAAAACACCAGTGTTCATTAACATTTTCCACTCATCTGAGAGAATCTTCAAATCTTTGTTCACAAATGACATCATCTTTGACAAAGTTAAGAGAGACAAGACAGCAGCTGTATGCAGTCAAAACCAGATCTGTCACATCTTCATGGAAGGTACTGAGCAGGCAGCATATATGAAGAATCTTTCTTTGGAATCTTGTTCAACAGGATTAACCAACCAGATACGCAAAACACCTCCCAGTGAGGATCTGTGTCTAAATCAAACAGGCCATCACTTCCTGCTTGTTTCTCAGACACCTATGGGTTAAGACCAGACCAACAGCTGTGTTTGAGTTTGACAACACCAGCGGTTTCAACATGGGGAGGATTGCTAAAGAGGTTTCCGGGTCCTGTGCTTCATTGGATTCGTTGGCATATGTGTCTGCTGTGGCATTCCCATATGGCGCGTCACTTCATACATTGGTGCCAACATCGTCACAGGCCAGATCGTCTGGGACGGCTTGTGGATGAACTGTGTGGTGCAGAGCACAGGACAGATGCAGTGTAAAGTCCAAGACTCAATCATGCGACTGACCCAAGACTTGCAAGCGGCACGTGCGCTGACCGTCATCGCAATAGTGATCAGCTTCATTGGGATGCTCTTGACGTTTGTGGGAGGCCAGTGCAGCAGCATACACCATCTCAGATTTCCAGAGTGTTCTCACAATCGAGACCCAAAAGAGGGAGCTTGGGGCATCCATATACATTGGCTGGGGCGCCTCAGGGTTTCTTCTGTTTGGAGGGATCATTCTGTGTACTTCCTGCCCACCGACAGAAGATATGTATCCAAAATACCCAGGCATGTACCCCTACCAAGGACCTATGTATGGGCCTCCTGGATCTTATATGCCTGCCAAAACATACACACCGAGTGCTGTATATACTGGAGCTTATGTTCCTAACAAACCTTATCCGGCCCCAACTTACTCACCTGTTCCGGCACAATATCTTTAGCTAATGGACAATAATTTTAACTGACACTTTCTGAAACATTTTTGAATGAAATCTCTACTTAATTCAGTGTTTGGTTAAATAAAATGTGTAAATGTATGTATGACTTGCTTGCAGTGTCTTATTATTTGCTAGTCTTTGAATAGAGAAGATTTGGAAAATCTTGTTTGTACTCTTTCTCCTCTCATTGCAGTTTTTCTACTGGTAGAGATGATGTAATGCTAATGAAGTATGTATATATTAGGGGTTGAACGACTTCACATTTTTTAAAGTCGACTTTTATGTGATGAAAGTCGAGTCAAAGTCGACTAGTCGCTGATGACGTCATTAATGAACAAATAAGTCTGGAGCAGTGACAAACACCTTGACGCAGCGCTGCACACATGGTTATTGCTCCTATAACAGCTCATTTTTACCACTTCTTTTGTCTTTGGGTCGTTATGTTTCTCACAGATTTCTGCTCGTTCTAAATCAGATACAGATAAAGCAGCACAGTAAAGATTACATTCATATGAATGCATTAGTGAGAGCGATTGCGTGTGTGAAATAATTCTACCTGGCAGCGTCTCTCTACTAGTAGTGAAGCTGTGGGATTTAGTTATTAAGAAATATATGCTTGAACTTTTCCGTTTCTAAGCTATTTTATTGAGAAATCACAGAACAGTGTTGACAATACATTTCCTCGCTGAATGATTCTGTGCGCATGATGTACGAGTTACTGTCTGTAATGTGTGTGCGTTACAGTGCAGCAGCGCATTAGATTAGAACGGCGATTAACTTATCGGTACAATAAACTGTTTAAAATGTGCATTCTCTTGTTCAATTTCGAGCACCCAGTAATATAATCACACACGTCTTGTGGAGCGCTTTCAGAGTATGCATTTATTTGCCATTTTAACTGTTTGGAAACAGAGCGTAAATGTGGAAGTCCTTCAAAGATTGCTTATCCTGCTGCACCCTCTATAGGACCAGCTACTAGTCGACGTCAAGCTTAAAGCGTCATGGCAGAGCATTGAAGTCGACTAGTCGGTGCAACCCCTAGTATATATGTATGTTTCAACAGAGTAGGTGAAATTTGCAAGTACTATGTCAAATAAATATACTTCTGAATTATTATAAATGATCTCAGAATTTAATTTATATATTTATCCTTCACTAACTGAAAATTGAGCATTAAACTTTTATTGCCTATAGCTGTCAAATAGACAAAAATGATTAAATATAAAAACACAAAATAAAAATGACTAAAAATGAAAATATTATATCGCTCAGCTTCATTTTTAGCTTATTTTTTTTTGCTTTGAGTCTCAACAAGTTTGTGTGTGATATCTGCCCAATCCTTTTGGTTGATGACTTGGTTCCTTTGTGTTTGTGTGACACTTTATTGTTCCTCGTTGATGCGCATCTCACCGAAACCAGCTGCTGTATCGCCATTCCTTGTTGGGGAATCTGGTCAGGCTTGAAAATTCACCTTAACCCGGTTTCAGGTCCATCCGACATGGACTCCTCCCTTCTGAGACAATCTTAAAACTCTGAAAGCTAGGATCAGAAGTCATTACTACGATTAACAGAGGAGCAAACACTTCCAAGTCAACGAAGCTGAGCAAACGAGAGAAAAATGGTGTCTATGTGTCGACAGATCCTAGGCCTGTCCCTGGCCATTATTGGTTTCTTGGGAGCGATTATTATTTGCGCCCTTCCCATGTGGAAGATGTCTGCGTTCATTGGAGCCAACATCGTGACAGCACAGATCATCTGGGAGGGCTTGTGGATGAACTGTGTGGTCCAGAGCACAGGACAGATGCAGTGCAAAATCTACGACTCGCTCCTGGCTTTACCTCAGGACCTGCAGGCTGCTCGGGCGCTTGTGATCATCGCCATCATTATCTGCCTCTTTGGGCTCATCCTGGGGATTGCTGGTGGAAAATGCACCAACTTTGTTGAGAGAGAAGAATCCAAAGTAAAGGTGGCTATCGCCAGTGGTGTGATCTTCATCGTGGCTGGAGTGCTGGTCCTGGTCCCCGTCTGCTGGTCAACTAACACCATCGTCAGGGATTTCTACAATCCCATTCTCACTGACGCCCAAAGGAGGGAGCTCGGGCCTTCTATCTATATCGGATTCGGTGCGGCTGCGCTGCTGATCCTGGGAGGAGGTATTCTGTGCAGCTCCTGCCCACCTAAAGAGGACAATTACAACATCAAGTACTCTCAGCCACGGTCCATTGCCAACAGCAGAGCCTACGTCTGACAGTAATCAAGCATGCAAAGACTTTTTACTTACAAAGACCCTTTTTTCGTAAAAACCTCTTTATTCCCATCTCTGGATTTTTTCCCCAAGGAGAAACGAAGGAAGGACAGTGTCTGATATGGCATAGTTTATTTACTGAGATTTTGTGCTGTGATTCCACAGATCACTGAAAGAGAAAGTGTACATTTATGATGAGAGGAATCAAACTCAGGGAAGCGACGGAGATCTGAAATGTTAACTGTGTTTTTTGTTTTTTTTTAGAAACAAGCTGTTCTTGTAATTGATGTTTAATATGACAATATGAATAGTTCCATTAATCATTTAGGTATCTGACTGTTAATAAATTACAAAGGCCATGGTTTTATAAAATGTACATTAACCTTCTACATTTTTTCCAAATATAAATTAGCATTTTTGCACAAAGATGCCTTAATCGGTACATTTGTCTTACCGTTTGTTTATTAAAATAAACGCTTCTGTAAAACAATTTATTAATACTGCATTGACTTCATTTCATAATAATAGTTTGACAGTACTGAATATTCTCACATCAAAGAAAACATTACAGATCGTGCTGAAACTGTTGAAAACAGCGACAGAGGTGTTGGAGGAGACCTCCTGTAAACCCGGTTTTTAGCAATGCTGTTAAAAAAAAATCTCTATTTTGCTGTAAAAAAAACTATTAATAAACAACTATCAGACATGTTTAGTCTGTCTCCACTTCATTCAAAGAAATTTAGTGAAAATTAGAGCTACTAGGCAAAAACAATTGTTTCTTCAGTAATATTTGCTCATTGACAGTGCTTTTTTTTTCAAATGGGTGAACAGATACTCTATAACTTTTTTGAAACAACTGCCAAAAATTAAAATGATGCTGCTCAGTGGTGAAAGACCAGCCAGTGGTGGATTAAAATGATTTCTTAGCCAGCAAGCTTTAAAAAAAAAAAAAAAGGATAATTCAACATAAATAAAATGAATGTAAATTCACTAGATCTATGAAGAGGCTGAAAAGAGGAGGAAGGAGAAACTGATTTTTTAAAAGTCTCAACCACACCTTTCAGCCTTTCTGGAAAAGGCAATGGCCGTGTTTACAGTGCATGTAGAAGAATACTATGTTATTAATCAGAATTTGGTCAGAAGCAGATTATGTGTCTGTGGCAATACTCTATGATGGGTCATACAGGTATAAACAGTTGAATGTGTTGCTGATGGGCCTTTTTGAAATATCTATGCTGAGGGCATGCCAACATCAAATCCATCCCTGAGATTCATGTGCATGCATTTCAGGTTAGCACAGAATTTAAATATTTAATATGCAGGATGCTTGAACAATTTTAACATTTAGACGGAATTAAAAAAACACACAGAATCTCTATTCCAACCAAAACACTGTGAAGATGTTTAAATTGTTTCTATTTTATTTCACTTCATTTTATTGATATTTGTTTTTATTTTTATTATTCTGCTTTACTGTGTTCAGTCTAATTTGGTTTTCTGAGTCGGAGGATTGGAACACAGAGTGCACCGCACTAGGAAAACCTGCTGTTCAAGAACACCTACTGATAGCATTAGTCAGTCGAAGAAACCACGTGCACTTTCACAACAAGATGATGCACAGCTGGGGGTTTTTAACCATTTCTATTACACTACAGCCATTTTTACAGTGGGTTTAGGTTACAGTAGTTTATTAATTATGATGATATCATGACGTGTATTTCACCTGTATTGCGTGTTTCTTCTTCTTTCTGTACAAAAATTTATAAACATGAATGTGTAATGTGACATAAGTGCTTCTTTCTTTGTCTGACTCATTTGAATTCATAATTAATATAAACAAACTGAAAACCCAGTTCTTCCACCTAGCCTTCCTCACAGACTCATATTACACAGTTCTCAGGCTGCAACACACAAACAACCTGGCCTTACTTACAATGAAAGCATAATTTGTTAAAATGTTATCCTCAACAGTCTCGAGTCACAGAGTTTTTTCAGATAACCACTTCAAGTGCATTCTCAGAGATGTAAACAAATGATGTCAAAGACAGAAATAAAAGCATGACAGGCATCTCTCCAGCTCTCTGTTGAGTAATCTGCTCCTCAGTCAGTATCGGTTTCATTCACGCTCCAAACACAAATGTCTCAGTTGAACAAATTCCAGTTAAACGTCACCCGTAGTTTGATATACTGCCCCCTATCGAGAGAAAGTCATTCATATGCTAGCCCTTGCAGAACAAAAATATTTCCATATATTGGAAACTAGTGCTTATATTTTTCAATATAGAGCAATATATCACAACTAAATCTGCTGCAAATAAATCACATCTATGTCATTATTAAAAGCACTGTTGCTCTGAAATAAAACAACTATTTCCTAATGGTTGTTTTCTGTCCTCCCCAGCCCCTCCATGGCTCTGCAGGTCTTGGGAATCACTCTTTCAATGATGGGCTTTGCAGGAACCATCATCATCTGCGCTCTGCCCATGTGGAAGGTGACGGCCTTCATCGGCACGAACATTGTGGTGGCTCAGGTCTTCTGGGAGGGCCTGTGGATGACGTGTGTGTACGAGCGCATCGGTCAGATGCAGTGTAAACTCTACGACGCGCTGCTGGATTTGGATCCTTCCCTGCAGGCGGCGCGCGGGCTGATCGTGACCACCATGGCTCTGGCCTGCTTGGCTTTCCTCATCTTTCTGGTTGGGGCTGACTGCACGAACTGCCTCAGTAACCCACGAGCCAAAGCTCGGATCGTGGTGGTCTCTGGGATCACCTTCATGCTTTCTGGACTGACCGCTGTGGTGCCCGTGTCCTGGACGGCTGACTCCATCATCAGAGACTTTCACAATCCCATCGTGCATGAAGCCCTGAAGAGGGAGATGGGGGCGGCGCTGTATGTGGGCTGGGTCACTGCAGGCTTTCTGTTCGTCGGTGGGGCGGTTCTCTGCACCAGCTGCCCACCAGAGCAGCACAACTACTCACCGAGATACACTTTATCCAAGACGGACACCCACAGCGGCTATGCCATAAAGAACTATGTGTGATATACAACACATGACACGCTGATCAACTGCAAAAGTGATATTTACACAACTGATAAACAAGAAAAGTTCAAAGAATAAAAGAATATACTTGGCTTTTGAGGTTTCTGTGCTAAATAAGAAAAGTGGTATTTTTAATTGATTATCAAAAGAAAGAAAGAAAGAAAGAAAGAAAGAAAGAAAGGAATTTGTTCTTGTCAGTTGTGTGTACTAATCTCTGTATAGATAAAAAAAACTAAAAAACAATTAAAACCTTAGGTGACTCAGACTTAGATGACATCAGTATATTAATATTTGTGTGAGTGTGTGTGTGTGTGTGTGTGTGTGTGTGTGTACCTGGTATTTATCACGTTATGGGGACCAGATGTCCCCACAAGGATAGTAATACTAGTAAATTTTGACCTTGTGGGGACATTTTTGAGGTCCCCATGAGGAAACAAGATTATAAATCATACAGAATGAGTTTTTTTGAGAAAGTAAAAATTTACAAAGTTTCCTGTAAGGGGTAGGTTTAGGGGTAGGGTTGGTGTAGGGCAATAGCACATACAGTTTGTACAGTATAACAACCATTACGCCTGTGGAATGTCCCCATAAAACATGGAAACACAACGTGTGTGTGTGTGAGAGAGAGAGAGAGAGAGAGAGAGAGAGAGAGTTTATTAATGTGTTTAATAATGTGTTTTCTGTTTTGTAATGCTTTAAACAAATAATTTTGAGAAATAAAGATTAAAATAATGTTAAATATAATTCTCATTTGTCGCATTGTCCCCTTAAACTGTATATGCTCTATTTTTATTTGTGAGTAAAATGATTACTGATCAATATTAGTGAACAAGATTTAATGAAAAATATCCCATGGATTATTCCATTAAAATGAAGACAATGCATTCAACTATTTATCTCAAGCTTTGATGGGATATTAACATTATACATTTATGTACTAGAAATAAATTAAAGAGATAAACCACACACAAATTTAAATTCTGTCATCATTCAATCACTGTTATGTTATTCCTGCACAAAATATTTTTATAGATATGAACATGATTTTTTTTTTATGCATTGTATTAATTTACTTTTTAATTTAGGTTGCCTAGTCAGGGAATACAAATGAAAATAAGCCTTTAAGGAATTGTTTTGTTTCTTTAAATTAATGAGTGCTGTCCCCATCAAATAAATAAGTAAATAAATAAAGTTTTGATTACCATTGACTTCCATTGTCTAGAGAGAAAAAAGGAGAGATTAGCCTAATGGTGAATTTTCATTTTTGAGTGAATTGATCCTTAGTTTTAAACCCTGCAGCTTAGCCTAACTAGCCTATGTAAGTATTTCAAGTACATAGAGTGCTGTTGTGAACCAGAAAAATCAGTTAGTGTATTACTAAAAAAAACATTTATTAAAGAGTTCATAAGCCGTGTAATTGTACATGTTCTAGGTACTTTTTTGTCAAGAGAAAGTAAAATTGTATTCAAATAGTGTTTTATCTCTTGTTAAGGCCCGTTCACACCAAGCACGATAACTATAAAGATAACGATAAAGATATAGATATAGCCTCGGAGCAGCACCGGTTACCAGCACGGACTGGCACCCGGTTACTCGTGCACACCCTGGGGTGAGGTGCCAGCGCACGCTTGGGACTGGGTGCAAGGCTGGCGCTGAGGAGCCCCAGGCAAACACGGGAAACCGGTCCCATCCACAACATGTAGAATTTGGTGGAGGGAGGGAACATTTCTTTTTTGTAGGGGGCACACTTTTTATAATCTGACCAACAGATATTCACCAAAACAATACCAACCCGTATTATAAATGAGACTGAATTGGAATTTTGCACAATAATTATTGCACAAATATTATTTAATACTAAAAATCTCCTCAGAACAATAAATATTATTAAGCTGAAGTATAGTACATTTATTTAGTTGTGTGACCCAAGTAAAGACTACCTGTGGGTTAAACTCAAGAAAAACATATTAATGTTGTCTCTTCATCACTCCCCAGAATAAAATGCTACTGTAAAGCCTAGTCTAGGGGCCGTCAACCTTTTGGGCATGAAGTGCCATTTAAAAAAAATAAAAATCTACCGCAATGCCAATACCATCCCCACCAATCTGTATTTGATTATCATACAAATAGTGCAGAATCTTAAATATTTCTGAATCACTTTTTTCATTAGTTGTTTTTTTTTTTTTTTTTTCAAAATCCTAAAAGTTTCTTTATTTTAATGTTTAAATTAGACTTTGAGTAACAGATTTACATTGTGACCCTACTGAACACCACTGTGTGTGAGAGACAAGGCCAATTGTGCATTAAAACTATTTCGCTTAATCACCGTTCTATATTAATGTGCTGCTTTAATTCAGCATTTGTGGTTCAGGTTTTTTTTTATTTTATTTTATTTTTTTTATTACTGATCATTTAGTTAGTCTGTACTCTTATTTCTCCACTGGGATTGTGCTGAGCCCTTTAAAACTTTCAAATGGTTTGCTGGCGTCAAGTGCATGTGTAGACTAATGCAGGTTAATTCTCATGTATACTTTAAAGGGGTCCTATTATGCTTTTTCACTTTTTCAACTTTAGTTAGTCTGTAATGTTGCTGTTTGAGCATAAAAAAGATCTGCAAAGTTACAAAGCTCAAAGTCCACTT